CGAATGTCAGGCTGTTCTTCCCCTGCAGACCAATTAATTCCGAAATTACAATAAATGGTAACGATACAAATGAATCAAAACTGTTCAGTGCATCAAAACTGGAGTTCGTTCGTTCACATCATCCTCTTAATTACGGCCAAAGGGAGAAAGGGGGAAGAACAAATCAATAGAAAGAACTCTTTATAAAAAACTAGTAAGAACAAAGAACAAATCAATCGAACGAACTCTGAAATAGCAAATTGAGAAGACTGCACCGCTGATTCCTCACCGCCAGACTGTAGCGCCGGAGTTGCCGTTTCCGCACCGCCAGACTGCACCGCCGGAGTTACCGTTTCCCCACCACCGGAGTGCACCGCCGATTGAGAAGTCGACTGGAACTCTGGAAGTCTGGAACGACGCTTGGGAGAAGCTAAGTGTGGCTATCAGCTGCGGTTTTGGGACGATTGCGAAGAAAGGTAAGGGGTTCGTTTATGTAATTTTTTCCAGCTTTTTTTTATTAATTTATTGGTGTTTTTAGGCATTTTCTAGTTGTACACCATACACGTGCTAATATGTTTTATTGTTAATTTATTATTTTATTGAATGAATGTGATTATGTAGCTTAAAGTGGAAGTATTTAAGTTTCCTAATTGGTCTTGAATTAAAATTATATTGAATGTGATTAACTATTTTTTTGTAATTAACAATTATTTTTAAATCAATAATTTAATTTACATGAATAAGTTAGTTTTACTTTGTTTGTAATATTTTCTAACAATGTAAATTTTCTACATCTGTAGGTATGAAACCTATAGACAAAGCTTGGATACAATTGAAGAATCGGGCATGTACACAGTACTTTGCGGGAGTGGAAAAAATTCACGAAGTACCCAACAGACCATGTTAAAGACGATGATGGTCTAATAAGGTGTCCTTGCGTGGAATGTGGTAATGTGCGTAGAATGACAGTGAAACAGGTAGAATTACATCTTCTTTATAAGGGAATGAGAAGCGACTACACTAAATGGATTTACCATGGTGAGGTCGATGAAGATGATGATGATGATGAAGGTCCAGAATTGGGTAATGACAACATGGAAGAAGAAAATAGAGATGATGACGATATGGGTGAAGATAACGATATGGGCGAAGATGATATGCTTGGTGTTCTGAACGACCTCATGGCTCAATTAGCGAATCCGGAAGAACCTAATGCCCAAGCTCAAAATTTCTACAAACTTTTTGGAGAGGCCCAATCACCGTTGTACGAGGGATGTGCTTCGAATGTGTCAAGATTGTCATTCGTCACAAAGCTTATGAAAATCAAGTGGGAGAATAACTGGAGTAACAATTCATTTACCCAGTTGGTCAAGTATATCCGGGCTATATTTCCTATGGCGAAATCACTTCCGAAGAATTACTATGAAGCAAAGCAGCTTACGAAAGTCCTTGGGCTACACTACGAAGAAATAGATGCATGTGAGGACGATTGCGTCCTATACTACGCCGAGCTGCACCCCACATGCAAAAAATCTAGGTGGAAGAAAGTTTATGAGGATAAGAAGGGCAGAGATAAGAAAATTCTGTGCAAAATTATACGGTATTTCCCATCAAACCACGACTACTAAGATTATTCATGTCGTCCAAAAATGCTGAAGATATGGTATGGCATGCTCTAAACCGCTTAAAAGATGGGATCTTGAGGCATCCATGTGACGGAGAGGGTTGGAAGGCTTTGGACAAGTTTGACCCATCTTTTGGTTCTGAACCCCGCAATGTTCGTTTGGGACTAGCGACTGATGGTTTCAACCCATTCGGCAATATGAACAACAAGCACAACACGTGGCCGGTCCTTCTATTCCCATATAATCTCCCTCCTTGGAAGTGCATGAAGAATCCTTTCACCTTCCTAACATTGCTCATTCCTGGCCCAAAAGCTCCGGGTAATAGTATTGATGTTTTTTTAGACCTGCTATCGATGATTTGAAGGCTTTGTGGAATGAAGGCTTGGCTTGTTAACTTATGATGCATTCAAGAAGGAGAACTTCATCATGAGAGCTGCATTGTTGTGGACCATCAACGATTTTCCGGCTTATGCTAATCTTTCTTGATGGAGTATGAAAGGTAAATTATCTTGTCCATTGTGTGCAGGGGAAACAACGCATTTGAGGTTGACGAACGGGCATAAGGAGTGCTAAATGGATCATCGTCGATTTTTGCCATTGGATCATAAGTGGCGCAAACAAAAGAAGAAATTTAACGGTAGAGTAGAGAAGAGGCCCAGACCAAGGCAATTGTCATCACTCGAGGTATCAAATCATATCCACTCATTCAATCAAATTGTGTTTGGGATAAAAGGAAAGGGTAAAAAGATCGATGGAGGTAAAGAACATAATTGGAAAAAAATTCAATTTTCTTTGAATTGCCGTATTGAAGTTCACTTAAGTTACGCCACAATTTAGATGTCATGCATATTGAGAAGAACGTGTGTGACATTGTTTTGGGTACAATGATGAGTATTGAAGGCAAAACCAAGGATAGTCTAAATGCCCGCAAAGATTTGCAGGAGATGGGATTGAGAAATGAATTACATCCTGTAGAGAGGAACGGGTGAACAGTGTTACCTCGAGCTTTATATAGCTTCTTGCAAGCACAGAGAAGGGAAATCTGTGAGTGGATATCATACTTAAAGGTTCCAGATGGTTATTCTGCCTATTTGAGGAATTGTGTGAATGTTCACGAAGGGAAGATTTCAGGAATGAAAACTCATGATTGTCGTATCATGTTGGAAAGATTAATTCCTCTTGCAGCTAGGGACTTCTTTCCGAAGGCTATAGCGGACCCCTTAATTGAGTTTGGCAATTTCTTCAAGAATATATGTTCGAAGGAGCTAAGTTTGAAAGAGTTATCAGCAATGGATTCTGAAATCGCCATAACCCTCTGTAAGTTGGAACGTGTATTTCCCTCGGCATTCTTCGATATCATGATTCATTTGGCCATCCATCTACCTTGGGAAGCAAAAATTTCTGGACCCGCCCAATATCGTTGGATGTATCCAGTGGAAAGGTATGAATTTCATTATCTTTAATTTATTTTTTTCGTTTTTTACTAATTCTTGAAACATGTCCAAAATTTATTGTTTTTGTTTTTTACTAATTCTTGAAACATGTCCAAAAATTTATTGTTTTTCGTTTTTTCACTAATTCTTGAAACATGTCCAAAACAAATTGGTATTAGTTTTTTTTACCAATGAATAGGATTAACTATTAATCTTTCCTACTTTTTTACTAGGTATCTGAAGAAATTGAAAGGTTGGGTTCGTAACAAGGCAAGACTAGAAGGATCTATTGATGAAGCATACATGATTAATGAGTGCGTTACATTTTGCTCGCAATACATGACGGATGTGGAAACTCGATTTTTATCATCCTGAAAGAAATGATGATAGTATTGCGGAGGGAACCGTTCACCCACATAATTTGTCCATTTTGCTACGTGTCGGTCGTCATTGGTACATTCATCATGAAGGACTTTAAAGATGATTTGTTCAAGGCTGCAACATTTTATGTCTTGCAAAACTATGATGAAGTCGAGGATTTTAGGCGGTACGTACGATTTATACTTCTTCAATACTGTGAGTATTGCTACAATAATCATTATTTTAAGAATTTGCATATGTACGTATACTATATATATAGACAACACAAGGATTTTTTGGCTGGACGCGGTGTGAGAATGGTTGATAGAGTGCATAGGGAAGAATTCCAAAAGTGGTTCGCTATTCAGGTAACTATTCCACAACGAAATTTTTTGAAGTTTTGTCTTATTATGATATTTGTGTAGAAGCCAACAAAAAAATTGCTTGATGATGCAGGTGGGCAAAATGATTGATGACAATGTTGCAACTTTGCATCCATTTATGTTGACTTTATCTCGAGAGCCGGACAAAAGAGTGTTGCACTACTCGGGATATTGCATCAATGGATTTAGATTCCACACGCAAGATCACGAGATTAGAAAAACAAGTCAAAATAGTGGAGCCATGGTGCGAGGCGAGGAAGGTGTGGGGATTCCTTACTATGGCGTAATTGAAGATATCATAGAGTTGCGGTATACCGAAGGGCTTCGTGTAGTGTTATTCCAATGTGAATGGTATGACACCACGCGAGAAGGCGTAGGCTATAGGAGGGATGGCCACGGTGTTATTAGCCTCCATAGAAGACGAAGGCGATCAACGGACGAACCTTTCGTTTTGGCAAGTCAAGTAACCCAAGTGTATTATGTGTAGTGTGCCAGAGATCCGGAATGGGACATGGTGGTTGAGACAAGGCCGAGGAATTTTTATAATGTGGCAGATGTCGAAGAAATTTTAGAAGAACAAGCATACCAAGAAGACGAAATGACTAATGGGGGTCGAGTTATCGAGGATGAGGAGGACGATGTTAACTTAAATCTGCGTGGCATGGGTTATGAAGAATTTCATTAATCATGTAATAGGACTTCTAAAATTTGCTTTCATACATTATGAACTTGTTACTTTTACCATTATTATCAATTTTGATTTAGTTAAACATATACATTATAGTATTGTTTTGTTAGAAAATTGAAATCTAAAATAACTATATTCATAAAAAAATATATTAGGTGTATATAGATAATTTTTATTACTATATTTAAATGACTTATATAAAAGCATATTAGCATAACTGCAAAAATATATTATGTCAAATGCTATTTAAATCACTTATAAAAAACACCCTGGTGGTTTGCAAAAATATATAAGGCCGAGCATGTTAGCATATTAGAAACTTTGTATAGAATAATTATTATTCAAATAAAAAACACCCTGGTGGTTTGCTGAAACGCCACCGCCGCACTAAAATGCCAGACGTTTCAATACTAAAACGTTGTCGCATGATGATGTATATTCATCGAATGTGGCTGTGGAAGAGGGGAAATTCCCCTCCGCCTCTTTTGTGTCCTCATTTCAGACGAAGCCTTAGATTTCTGCTTCGTCGATCGAGCTCGCGCGACTTCCGATCCCTTGAATCGAAATTGCCGAGGGCGGTGTCACAATTCGAGTTCAAGGTTTAATGAAGCAAAGCATCGTTCTGGAATCTCTCGACGCTTTAAGCCGCAATGAAGGAGACAGCGGAGAATCCACCATTAGATGGAGAGGCGCGAGACATGCAACGTGAGAAGGCGATCCATCGGAATTGATTGCAGAGTTTCTAGGAAGTACGAAGCGTCTGGATTAACTCTGCATTTAACTTGCACTATTAATTCTAAGTTGCCCGTTTGATGATTCATCCGATCGAGTTTTTAGCTTTCAATTTCTTACCTTATTCCTAGAAACAACTCATCGACGACTCAACTCATAAAATTATATGTATCCAATTCTTTACCCCAATTATCTACCCTAGTCTTTACCCTATATATATATCCCTCTTATTTTATAACGAACGACCTCACAACCTAGACAGAACCCCTCCCCCTCAGGCAAACAAAAAACCACAGACGAAAAGCTTAAGTCTGATTGCACAAAGTTATTATTTTTCTCTCGGTTCCTTTCCTTTTCATGTATTAGTTGTGCTTAAATTGTCCCCGTAATAATGTGAATGTTGTTTCTTCTAGATGGGAAGGCCAAAAAAGGATGGGAAGACAAAGCCTTCCAAAAGGCCAGTGGAGGAACCAGAAAGGTCAGCCCCTATAGAGACTGTCGAAGTGGTTACTCAGGAAAGTGAAACCGTGCCAGAAACTCAGCAGGCAGAAAGAGAGGGCGAACAACAAGTGAATGAGCTAGAGAATGAAGAAGTTCATCCCTAGAATGATGACATAGCTTTTGAAGAGGATGCGAACCTAAACCAGGGGGTCTCATTCTACTGGGGGATGTTCTTCGGCTCACAAGAAGAAAGGCAGAGGTCCTGGAATAGGGGTGAAGCCGGGCCATGACATTCACCTTGAGATACATGACAACAGGTAAATATATAAGATATTGCCTTTTGTGTGTAGAACCTAATAATTTCCATTGAGTCGATTAATGCTTATGAACTTTCTCTTGTATTTGTAGGATCGTCACACCACAGGCTGCCGATGAACTCACTGCCATCTTCAAAAGGAGCATCACTGGACCATGGATAAGGTTCTCAGAGTACCCGGCTTCTGCTTTGCAGACCGTGATTGCTCGTTTCAAGGAATCTGGGTTCACATGATCTCTGCCAGAGGAAGAACTCAATGTTCATCTCAATGAACATATCAAGAGGAACTTTTCCCAGTGGATGTATGGGTTCCGTAACCAAGTATTCTCTGAACATGCTACCCTTGCTGAAAGGCTTAACAATCCACCTACTGAAATCCCTGCTCATATTTGGAGGGATATGGTTAACAAGTGGAGTGACCCAAACTGGAAGGTAATTTACTGCTGTCTAAACTTGTGTATTATGATTATTTGTGTTTGTATCTAATTTGTATTGTCTTTACACTCCGCCAGAGCACCAGTGATAAGAACAAAGCCAATCGTGAGAAGTCTGAGCTCACTGCTACTGGCGGATCTGTTCCCATGGCAAAGTTTAGGCTTGATCAGGTAACACGATCTGTTCTCTTGTGTTTAATAAGAACGAAGCCAATTGTGAGAAGTGTGAGCTCACTGCTCCTGTTTTTTTTTTTTTTTTTTTGCAGATCAAGAAGACGGGAAAAGAACCAGATCCTATAGAGACATTCAAGAAGTTCCATGTTAAGAAGGCCAATGGTGAATTCACCACCCCAAAAGCTCAGACCATACATGTAAGTACATTGCTTGTTAAGTAATTTTAGCTTTCTTCTACGTTTTTAAAATCATTTAAACTCAGCGTATTAGTTATTAAATACTATGTGTGTAGGTTGAATTGAAGAATAAGGAAGCTGAGAAGTTGAGTCAAGGGGAAGAGGAGAACCAGTTTGCGATTTATGGTGAGGTTGTAGGAAAACAGTCTAGGAAACGTGTGCTGGGAATGGGTTATGGGGTAAGTGGTTTGGATGTGTTTGGCCCTACCTCTGTCAGGGCTGCAGCAAAAGGTGCAAAGAGGACCGAAGGCAAGAGAAAGCGAAGAATGATGAGATGATAAGCATGCTGAAAGAAGTGCTAGTACAGGTGAAGAATGGAATTCCTCAAATTGTCGAGGACACCTTGAAGAGGCTAGGAGTTATTTTGGCAGAGTCCTCAATGGTAAGTGTTTGTTGCTGTTTTTTAGTTGGTTGAGCATGATTACTGGTATGAACCTTATCATGATCTATTTAACTTTGTAATTTAGGCTGGAGACAAGGGGGTGAATGATGAAGATGAAGGATGGAGACGGGGAAGTGAATGATGAAGATGATGACGGTATTGATGATGAGAAAAACTCTCCCTGATGATGATGATTACTAAGTTTGCAGCGCTAGGAAGAAGGCAACAGTAGGAACTTTGCAAGTTCCAATTTTCAATCGGAAGTTTGCAGCTAGGAAGAAGGCAGCCGTAGGAACTTTGCAAGTTCCATTTTTCAATCGGATTATGTTTATGTTATGTGTTCGGTTGTTTTGTTATATGTTTGAACAAGTGTTGTAGGTGGTTTCTGTGTGCGTTTAAGACAATTTTGGTGGTTAGGCCACCTAATTTTATGGAGAAGTTTCATTTTTTGCTAATATATTGCATTCAATAATTTCATTTATGCTTTTAATAATTACCTGCAAAATACAATTCATTATTATTATTTTCAGTTTTCATCACAAATAAATTATAGTAAAAATATTTAAAATATCGGAAAAATTGTAGTTTTAACGGTATAATTTGGTTACAGTAGCACGAAATTCGGTTAGAATTGTCGAGTTGCTTCCCACGAATATTTTCTGTTGCAAATATTCTATTTGTAATGAAACAAATTGGTTAGCTTTAGTAAGCCGTTTCCGACGAATATTTTGTGTTACACATATTCTTTTTTAACACAAAAATTTGGTTAGATTTAATATGTTTTCTGACAAATAGTTTGGTTACATATAGTCTTTTTTAACACAACAATTTGGTTAGATTTAATATGTTTCTTACGACAAATATTTTGTGTTACAAATATTCTTTTTTAACACAGCAATTTGGTTAGATATAATATCTTTCTTCCGACGAATATTTTGTGTTACAAAAATCCTATTTTTAACGCAACAATCTGGTTACATGAACACAAAATTTGGTCTAAAATAATACATTTCTTCCCACGGAAATTTTGCGTCACAAATATTCGATATTTTCTTCTGACCTTATTTTCGCGCTGGAAACTAAAATTACAATTAGTACGAATAGTTTTTCGTGACGCAAGATAGTCATTATAAATACCACAGGGGTGTTTTGGGAACATAATTAACCCTCGCAAAAAGTGTTCTTTTATGACAAACAGCTGTTGTCAAAACGTATAAAGGGTATTTTCGGATAAAAAAAATGTAATTTTCTATTAACGAATTTTTTCTTTACTGACAAACACGTTTTCATCATTTATAGTTTATTTAACAAAATGCACTCCTCACAAATAATATTTCACCCCTTAAAAATAGATTGGGTCAAACAATTTCGTTAAGTACATTTTTTTTTCCGATCACGATATTTTGCATAACGACAAAAAATCATTGTCACAAATGTATGATTTTCTGGCGCAAATAAATTTAAACTATTAGCGAGGGACCTTTCCACCACGACTCACCAACGATCGTATTTCGTCAAAACAACCCTATTGTGACGATAAAAGGTCTTTTGTGACGCCAATCATCTGGTAACATCTGCCAGTCTTTTTTGTAGTGATAGGCAATCAAAAAAAAATTATTAAGCTTCTGATAGCCTCCATTCTCTAAGTCGGATCCTACAAAAGAATGATACACTTTACAAGAGCAGCAGGTGACCTCTGCTACTTATCTAACCCTCTGCTGACTAATACAATGAAAGTGGAGATAGGGATGTTAAGAACTTGGGATGTTAAGAACAAGTTTCAAGTCCTGAAACTTCCATCCTCTCTACGGTTTGAGGAACGAGGCGAGTAGTCACAATAAGAAAAACGATTGTATACACAATAAGATTTCAGTATCAACTCAGTTACGTTTGGAGAGTGAACCGAATTTGATAAGTCACAAACAACCTCTTTGATATAGTTAGTTATTACCAAGTATAATTGTATAAATCGAACCAAGTTACACGTCTAAGACACATGAAACACAGAAACAGACGCATTACACAGACAAACCCTACCAAGAAGTGAGTTTAGGATTGTTTTACTTTTACGTTTGGATGTTTTGAATATTCGGTCTTTGGTTTATCAACCCAAATCCATGGGTAAAACCCAATGGACCCAACATCCTGGGTGTTGGCATTAACCCATCACCCATCAGATTGCATTGATATGGGTTTCACAACCGACCCAATAGAATTGGATGATAAAAACCCATCAGTTTGGGCAAATAAAGCTCTAAACGAAACCAATAATCCAAAATCAATCCAGCGTAAATGCCACATTTGATCACTAGAAAAATTTAATATCAATTTTGTTCACTCGAATTACTGAAACATATCAATGGAGTTGAACGGAAATTAAGGGGTGAGTGACTAAATGTGACATGTTTCAGTAATTCGAGTGACCGGAGTTGGACGGAGGCTAACGTGAGAGTGACTAAATGTGAACGGTTTCAGTAATTCGAGTGACTAAAATTAATATTAAATTTTTCTAGTTACTAAACATGACACGATATAGTAATCTCAGTGACCAAATGTAGCATTTACCCTCATAAAATCAAATCATAATCCTGAAGTGACATGGAAGTAAAAAAAGCAAACACAGTTGATAGATGAATGCATGAAGATAAACTGGCATCCAGCAATTGATGTTGAGAAACATCAACCCTCACGATTGAAGATTATCAATCGTCCTGCTGTCGGCATTTGCAATCCTAGCTTCGCTATATGTGCGATCTACTGCAATCTTTGTAATGCCTCCTGCCGTAGTTGCAGTACCAACCTATTAGCTTCAGCATTCAGACGATTGATATTGTCTTTAATGATAGTCCTCATCAACTCCGAACGCTGAGTGGCCAACTGATGAATATGAACATGCTCATTGAGTGCAGTCGCTGCAAGAGCACCTTCGACTTCTTCTCGTCTTTCCCGTTCGAAAAGTTGTAGTTGTTGCTCTAAGAAAGCTATTCTCTCCAAAATTTGCCCATAGCGCAGATATCTCTCTTGTTGTTCTTGACTCGCCATCTTCTCAAAGGTTCTCTACACACCATTGCTTTGGGGTTCAGTTCTCAAGCGAACAAGGTTTCACGTTAACAATACATAATCAGTAATCACAAGATGGCAACCACCGAGATATTAGCAATGTGCAAGGAACAACTTCCATCAAACGTGATGCATGAGGAGGAACATTTAGTAAAGCATCCAAGTCTTTATGATATGCAAACACTGTACTGTAACTCAACACAGTTTTTCTTTCGACATTTCAGTTTTTCTATCAACATACAGCAAAGCACCTGAGTCTCAGTGCCCAATGCAAACACAAACTGGGATGTAAGCTCTCCATATTTATCCAACCTACACAATTCAATGTTCTCCTAGTCCAAAAATAAGGAACTGGGGATCAATTGGGTTGTTGCAATATGTCACAGGGTGGATCCCTCTCAATATCTTGGAACACAAGAAATGAAGAGTGCTGCTGAAGAAACTGAGAAAACAGAGAAAGCTTGCTTGAAAGAGATGAAGATGAAGATGGAACCAGCTGGAAGATGTTTTGGACTGTCTGCAACTTTGGATTGAAGCTAAAGATGTTGAGGGACCACTGTGAAGGGCATGTTTGCCAATGCCTCTTCTTGTTTTGTTTCTAGGGAACATTGAAAGTGACTTGTGTACTTGGTTTTGTCTTTAAGCTTTTGTTTGTTTGTAGTTGCAGATCAACCTAGGGTTTGTTGTTAAGCCTTTAAAAAGGTTGTTGCCTCCTCCTTTTGTGTGTGTGTGAGAACAAATTGAAAAACTAAATGGAAAAGTGGATCTGATGCATTGAAGCTCAGCCACTATTTGTGTTCAAAATCTGTTCTTCTACCATTCTGTTTTCTGGTTTACACTGTTACATTGCATTTCTCCAATTTGTGTTGCTGGAAATTACAAACATTGTGTTTAAATCGACACGTGGTATCAGAGCCCTCTTGATCTTTGAAAGGGATCGTGAGGTTTTTCTTTGGAGTGAATCAGTGAGGTTTTGTGAGGGTTGAGTGTTCTTCTTCTTTTTCTTGACCTCTGCCAGTTGCAAGTTAGCCAGAAATGACTTCAACTGGCCTCTCTCTGACCTCACTCCCAAGTTTCAATGGTAAAAACTACCAGATCTGGGTTGTTAAGATGAAGTCATTCATGCAAGGGAATGACATCTGGGAGCCTGTGAATGGAAGAGTGGTTGATCCACTTCCAGCAAATGCTTCTCTAAATCAGCAAACCAGATATGCTGAAGAGGTAGCTAAAACCCACAGAGCTCTTACCTGCATCCATGCTGCAGTCACTAAGGAAGTCTTCACAAGAATCATGACTTGCACAACAGCAAAGGAAGCTTGGGACAAACTTCAAGAAGAGTTCCAAGGGTCTGACAGAGGTAAGCAAATGCAAGCTCTGAATCTGAGAAGAGAGTTTGAAAGTATGAGAATGAAAGAAAGTGAAAGTATCAAGGACTATCTGGATAGAATCATGAAAAATGTGAATCAACTAAGGCTGCTTGGTGAGACTTTTGATGATTCTAGGATTGTTGAGAAGATCTTAGTCACTGTGCCTGAGAAATTTGAGGCTAAGATTTCAACTATGGAAGAGACTCAAGATCTGTCTACACTGAGCATAACTCAGCTGATTAACTCTTTACAAGTAACTGAGTTGAGGAGTTCCATCAGAAATGATGACAACTCAGAAGAAGCTCTGGTTGTAAGACAACAAAAGGCAAAAGGGCAAAGTTCTGGAGTCAAGAAAGCTCCTGAAAAGAAGAAAAAGGGTAAGGAGGAGCAGACTGAAAAACCAATTGAGAAGAAGGTCTATCCTCCTTGTCCCATCTGTAAGAAAACTAATCATACTGAGAACTACTGCTGGTATAGACCTAATGTGCAGTGCAGATCATGTAAAAGACTAGGGCACGTTGAAAAGGTCTGAAAAAACAAGAGCATTAGGGAACAAGTGGCTGTTGCAGAAGCCAATGAACAGAACAAGCAGGAAGGGATGTTCATGGTTACCTGTTTCACAGCTACAAGCAGCAGTGAGGACTGGCTTCTGGATACTGGCTGTACAAATCATATGACTAACAATGAGGAGTATTTTCTGGATCTGGACAAGTCCTACAAGTCTAAAGTAAAGATTGGAAATGGTGATCTGCTATCTGTTGAAGGTAAAGGATCAGTTTCAGTGCAAACTGCCTTTGGACTTAAGGTAATCCCTGAAGTTTTATTTGTTCCTGCTCTAGCTAAGAACTTGCTTAGTGTAGGACAAATGCTTGAAAAGGGTTACTCTTTGGAAATGCAAAACAAGTCCTGTGTTGTGTATGATTCAAAGGGAGATAAACTGTTTGATCTCTCTATGATTCAAAGGAGTTTTGCCCTGAAAATGAAAACTGCC